CCAAAATGATACGTTGATTTGAATTCCGGCCATGGTTGTCTGTGACCGACCGCAGCGCACCAAATCCACACAAAATTTGGTACAAATTTTGCTTCTTTTGGAATTTCTGAATTCTTTCTAATTATATGGTCACCCAAAGTCAGAGGTGTGAGCTGCGAATGGGTGCAGTTTCCGCAGGATTATTCGCGTAGAGAAACGTCAATGTGAAGATGATGTGAAGGTTTCATAATGATGGTGAGTCATTGGCCAAAAGCTTTCAGTTCTTTTGGATGTGGGGCATGTTTCGTACACCAGGAACCGAGCTCTGTTTACTTCACCTTTATCTTCCTCCTTCCTACCGCCGTCACCCGCCTGCTCTCGCTTTCTTAATGTGAATTCTTTTCCAGTAGGACTTCTTGAACAAACCAAATCAAGATTTTCGTACGAAAATCTCTGAGAGTCGTAGTCGTATGTACTGCCACAAACTATCAGTTATGCGGTGGGTGACTGAACCCCTACATATTTCTCGTGACAGGGGTTGCACTACGATGTTATTTACATCTATGTATAGCAGTTGAGGCGTATCACAAAACAGCAAAACGGGTTTTACATATACATGGTACATCGCGTAATAATTTCAACATTAGGTCTTGTGAAAATTAGCTTGTTAGACAAAGTTTGACAGTGTTCCATGGTACCAAGGAGAAGCTTCAATTCTTTTACAAGTTTTTGACCATGACAAGCGCTCTGTAAGGTCCGGTGGCTGGTCTTGCTGTATTGCTGTAGACCATCTTCCACTGAACTCTCATTTTATAATTTCATAGACATCACGAATTGAGTCCAATCGTTTATCACCAGCGTTCATCGTTCACTATTTCACAGTTTCAACTCATGGCCATCTAACTCTTATCCACCTGGCGATCCTCTGCCACGTTTAATAATAAGTCGAAGTCCCCTGGTGGACGAGGGTGGAAAGAACATCCGCTGAAATGGGAAGAATACGTAGAATTTGTTGGTCACTACTTTTTCAAAATTTTTTTAGGAGGCATGAACAATAGTGGCCGAACCCGTAAGTTTTCACGACTACCAAGCGTTCCTGAGTTCTTGAAAACAGTAACAGTAGTCTCTTTTTTGAAATGCTTTATTCGTGACTTGATGCAACTGTACTCATTATTATGCAAGAGCAAAATCCACACCTCAATCTTATTGATATGGTCGACAATGCAAGCTGGATACTGTAAATAAAATTGTGATTTCGTCGGACTAAAGCAGCCTTTCTTCCTTCACGTTTACGCTCAACGACCCCATCCTCCCATTCCTCCCATCGATGAGCCTCCGCCCATCTGAGATGCTCCCATTTGAGAGCTTTGCATCTGGCTACTGTATCCACCCATGCCCATATTACCGAATTGGCGTTTGAATCTCGGAGACCTGGAATCAAATTAACACTATTGATCTTTTACAACAATTAGATTTTTTGAATCACTCACATGGCGAGTGATGGGGTCGCAAAGATCATACCGATCGCAGATAGCAAGACAAAGAAGACATATAGGATCTGCATCGCTGCTGAAACAACAATATTAGTTCAATCATTCTGAAATCAGTTAATGAAGGTATTCGGAGACGATGAAGGTGGTTTTTGAGTCTAGGAAATGAATTCGTCCGAACATCGAAGCCGTTTGTTCTCTTACGTGAGGAGTTTTCTCAGAGGTGATTGCTTTCTGTCACTCTTGCAAGGATCAGTGGTAAAAATCGAGTTTAATCAGCAAGCTTTACTATTTATATTGGTCTATGCATAATAAAGATTGGCATGATACTTGAATGATCCGAGAATCCCAGCTTTTGATCGCCAGTTAACAATTGAAGTTTATAAAGGATGTCCGAATAGAGCAGAGGTAAAAGTAAAAGTTTGTACGATCACCAAGGCATACTTTTATAGCTATTACTTGTAAGTGTAACAATTGCTGATGTGTCTGTGGAGTAGATTTGGCCCGGTCCGTGTATACTGTAACAATTGTGCTGCTTTGATAAACAAACATTTTTCAATCATGCCTAAGAGTTTTTTGTTATGCTAAATGACGTCATGTTGTATTCTACGACAAGTCCGATCTACTTGGTCCTCTTCTCCCCTTCAATTTAATGACTGTGAATGCACAATTTGTGGGCCTTACAGCAGTGAGGCTGTTCAATTAGTTAATATACACAATAAGATATGCCGATTATCTGTGAGTCATGTTTCAAATTGATTCAGAATGTCTTTGATTCGAGAGAGAACTCAGATGCACCTACTGCTTTCATTTTTCCGTAGTCGTTGTGCCCTCACAAGTTGAGGAAAACACACTGCACATGTGTTGACACAATGCTGCAAGATCAGCTGTTAAAAAAACTTTGGCAGTTGTTATGCGCTTTTATGAAAGAGGAATTGAGGAGTATCATCTAAAACACTTTACTCTCTGGGAATTATGTTTCCTTATACCTACGAATCGGTACAAAGCGACATGCAGTTCAGCGGTCCTGGAACAGAAGGAGCTTCAGTCTTCCTCATGCAACTAGTGAAATGGTCCTACACGAGTACCAAATAATTTTGACACGGGTCACAGAACGGATTTGATATGTGATTCCAGACACTGTTTCCATCATCTGAAACAAATTTATGTTAAGAATTCGGGATGTATCAACTTAGGTGAATCCAAAACGGCATCGTACCTCTACATTTCCGAATACCGAGTAGTTTGTTTCTGAAGACATGAACTGTTTCTGAGATAGAGCAGTGCTCTTCTACACATTATAAATAATCCACGCTCCTCTCAATAGCTGCATCAATACCAAGAGTCATTTCATTGCAAAAGCCCTCCGATACAACCTTCAGCTTTCCTTACTGAAAGGCATATAGCAGCGAACCGAGAAAGCGGGTTGGGAACTTTTGAAATGTAAGGTGACCACTCCCTACTTTAGACCATCTAATTCCACACCTCTTCCTCTAACAAGAAACTTTCTGTGGGGATGTTCTAGAAAACAGGAAAATTCCTTTTATGCGTGATCCCTTCGGATCTTATCGTTAGAAATGAACATTCCTTGCGTAGAAATTGGTAAACTCGACTCAGCAATGAGACCAGTCTTAGACTGACCTTCAGCGCTGTTGCTTCATTGACAAACTATATTATTTCTCGAAGCAGCTATTTATATCCCGGCAGCGTGGTTTAACTATCAAAAGGTAAGGTTTTCATACTTGAGCTACTATTTCTCAACAAAGATGGCACTTGCAGCATGGAGCGCAGAACAAAGATGCTGCGTACAGTTTCTACCTAGACACACTCTTTAATGTAATGATCTCTGAGGATCGATTCTGGAATTAGCACTTACTAACAAGGATTCTGTTGTATGTATACTTGCTGTAGTTCATAATACTGACCAATAATTGAGTAAGATCCAGAAGATGGTCAGGCCTTATGAATTTCTTCCTTCCTTCGAAGATAAACGATTTCCAACAGATCTAAGATTTCGAACTCCTCTACAATTCTTGATTCATTGACTGAATTGGAAAGGTTGGAAAAGGGTGGGAAAACTAGTAAGCGGTCGCTAATATCAACACTAATTGATCAAGCAACCGACCCCATGATCATATACATAGTTAAAAACATTACAGTAAGAAGGTTAGGTATAAAAACATTCTATGCTAATCACTCACTTCACCTATTCAATTTCTATTCTATTGGCAGTTTATATGGTTAAGTACATGACGATTTTTTACTAGAATACCTTCGACTGTGGAATTTTAACACTAAAATACAAATAGCCGTTTACCTTTCAGGATAGTTATATCAGTGGTCTGGTGAGCCAAACACTACTTGTTGGGATTTGTCACTGAAGAAGGCAACAAAAGGATTTGGGTGATTGAATACATACGTTCCTTCGCGATAGTCTAGTAATTAGAAATTTGCATCCGTTCTTGTAAACGAAAGAGTTTTGCAAAAGAGGTAGGTAACCGATTCCTTTGAAATTCATTACATAAAAGATAGGTGTGTCTTCTTTCGGAATCATTCTCGCTTCGATTCAGGTTTGGTTCCACTCATAATGGCGTTGTTAGCTATGCATGCCCTATGTGCATCCACTATATTAGTTGTTTTGACTACGACCTTTGCACTGCCAGTATTTTTCGAGAATCGAGATGCAGATGGTGGCATGTAAGCAATTTGGAATAACATTTGATTGAACTTCTCTACCTTCGTTTCTTCAGGTCTCTACGGTACAAACGTCAGTTCTTTCCTGGGGGTGGTTTGGGTGGAAACGGTTTCGGTGGAATGGGAGGTGGAGGAAGGGGAGGAGGACCAGGAGGTGGCGGAGGCGGAGGACCAGGAGGAGGAAATAGAGGCGGTGGCGGGCAGGGTCCTGGTGGAAGAAACGGACCAGGTGGAGGAGGTCAAGGGCAGCAAGGTGGAATGGGAGGAGGGGGCCCTCAAGGAATGGGTGGAAGAGGAGGGCAACTAGGTGGAGCGGGTGGATTCGGAGGGCAGCAAGGGGGATGGGGTGGGCCTCCTCGTGGAATGGGTGGATTCGGTGGGTTCCCACGAGGGGGTGGATGGGGTGGTCCTCCGCCGAGGTTTTTCGGATGGGGTCGCTAACGGCAAGCATAGACTACATAGGAATGAAGACCTGGATTCAATGAGATTTCGATGAGTGGCCTGCTCTACTTCGTGCTCAACAACGCAATCGGATCTCAAAATCACTTTTATTCACATATTCGCGAGACTTCTGTATTCAATGCAAGCTGCAATAAAGCATTCAACATACCAATATCATCTCATTAGGAAAAATGTTAGCTTCAAAAATCATCTACATCTTCACTTCAAACGACTGGATATTTGAGTAGTTAGCTGTTATCATTAACATTGTGTCAATTTTTCGCAAGTCTGAAAAATCATTCATTTCCAATCTACGCTCACATAAAACAAATCCATTGTATTAGACGGGATTCATAGTCTTAAGATAACGGCTTACACTTAGTGTTGGTTCGGCATCTGAAACAAAATATTTTTTCTATAAATGCATACATGAGCCATCACAAAGCCTTGGCTATATCACATCTTCTAGACTTACAAAGTTTTGAAGCATCTCATGACACAAGCATGTAAGCAGCACATTAGTTAGTCTAGAAATGGTAAACGATTTCCAACTGACCACTCACAATCGCTTTTGATTTCTAAAAATTCAGCTACCGCCCAGCCATTGCAGCAATACTAACCTTCGGCCGCATGAGCAGTTATGTATGTGTGTATGTGGTCCAGCACATTCAAGCGTCCCTCCAGTAGTCCACGATCATATTTTTAAAGACCATGTTTTCACTGAAACGTCAATGCGTGAAAGGCCAGTGTTATTTACGTAATTGGCGAATCAGAAACTGGAATGACGGCGATCATATTTTCGGATGTTTTTAAATAAATCAGCGAGTCTACATCTGCAGAAAAAGTGATGTGCCCAAAAAATCCTCTAATTCCTTTTGAGCCTCTAGAAATTTCGTACGTTCTCAGTCTTGTTTTAGAGATACTAAGTTCCACGAGCATCATCATAAAAGTAGGAACACAATACCAAAAATGGAATTGGACTAATGAACCAACACTATCACTTGCTATGAGAGAAATTCATGCTGTAATTACAGGACTTTGATCCACACTGTTCATAGAACAGGTATCCATATTTTTCGACTAAGAAGTTGCTCACAAAGTTATAACATCGTCTATATAAAAAGGTAGTATCATTGGTTTTTAACAGGCTCGTGAAGATCGGGAAGAGAGTGGAACCCCACAACATCCAACTGCTCTTTGGATGGGTTCCATTCCACGATGTTTCTCCGAGTGGCGCAAAGAGGTTATTATAGAGCAATTCACAACATCATTTCTGGTGCACATCCCACAGATCCTAAAACATTTGTTGGAAGAGTGATCTAGGATTTGCCGACTTTCAGCACCCGAAGATATTTCGGGTGAACGAAAACTTCCATTAGCACCTTAAGTAGATGAACTTCTTTATATACATAAGCCACAGCAACGAAAACCAGCAACAAATGAAAAAACAATGCCGTTTCCTTTATAGGAAGGAACATAAAAATCAATAAATAGAATTAAGTGAGTTAAGAAAAATTAAGGAGCAACAAATTCACTTCGGTGATAAACTATTGCGTCTTGTAAGAACTTCGTTTCCACGCACACCATATGATAGCACAAGTGTCGCACGACATGAAATAGCACTGTCAAGCGAAATCTTTATATATGTGCAGAAACATTACATCATAATTCCCTCGATGCTGCTACACCTCATCCAACCATCTGTGTTTGAGAATAGGAATGGCTTTTCGCTGCTTCGAAAGACTGGCCATAGTCAATTAAAACCAGTCGCCAAATTTCCAGTTCTAGTTATGCAAAACTCTCGTCTCACCAATGCAAGATACGAGATGTGCAAGCCGTGATCATCCTTTGATGGGCTGAACCATGACTTTTATTCGACATTATTCCTGATTTCCAAAACTAGGAACTCAAGCCACTAGTGTCATCAGAAAATGCCACAAATGCTACACCAAAAACTCAACAATTTCCCCCATAACCACCCTCAGCAGGAGTATTTTACGCCTCAGCGAGTGTAGAAGTCACGTCCACTCCGCCACGTCGGGTCCAAGCTCTTTGGACCCCCTGAACAACACGCTGATTGACAATTCAGATGTATAACTAATGGCAACGCTTTCGATGCACTTGATTGTTGTTTCAAACCCTTCCACCTCAATGTTTCTTAGAATGATACGGCAGTTTTTTGCCTGAGAAGGGGTAAAACATACTCAACGAGTGACACGAGAGTTGAAATTCAGTTAGGGCTCCCAGCTTTTACAGAAAGTCGTCGTAAAATCGAATGCATCAGCAGCGTAGCTGTCTCAGACGGAGTCTGTAATTTTACGGTACATTGCTTTGGGTATTTGTCAAGTCGTGGGTCCGAGGAAGCGCGCGGCAAATTGCGCTGCGAAATTCATGGTGATAGAATTTAGCGCCTATCATTGCGGCCCAAATTTGAAGTAAGGAAGATATCGGGTTCAGTTGATCTTACTGATCTATTTGCTTCATATTCG